TATATATATATATATATATATATATATGCACACATGACCATCTTTGTCTACTTATAAATCCTGCAGTTGACTGCTTACACATAGTTACCAGTAAAGTTAACCTATAACTTTTTGTCGTGGTTTCCAATCTTTAGAAATAGTTTTCAAAGATTAATCAGCAATTTAGATTTTACTGTTGAGTCTAATTTGGGGGGGTACTGGGGATCAAACTTGGGACCTTGTGCTTTCAAGGCAGGTGATGGAACCACTGAGCTACATCTCTGGCTTGAGTCTAATTTTGAATTAATTTTATTTCTTGGGAATACTTTTTAAATTTTATTCTAGCATTGATAATGAAAAATATGCATTATCTGAAAAGAAATAATTAACATCATCTTTAATAATATAATGAAAATATTCCCACAGTGTACCACTGTGTCAGCATTCATAATTGAGATTCTATACAGGTGCTATTCAGTTCTGAGAGCTGCCATTATCTAGGGTATTGTCAATGTTTAGCAAGATAAAGGAAATATTTTATTTGACTGCTCTGGGAATTAATTGTGCATGCCACTACTAACTATTTAGTCCATCTTTCTAGTTAAAAAATAACCTGCTTAGGGTTAGGGTTATAGTTTAGTGGTAGAGTGCTTGCCTACCATGTGTTTGGACTAGTTTCAATCCCCAGCACTAGGGAAAAAAATCTAGTTAAAATAAATGAAAAATGTATAAGGCATAGAAAAAAATATTTTGATGTTTCTTAGTCAACTATGAGGCATGTGTAAAAAACAGTGTTTCATTCTGCTGTGAATCTGTATAGTAAGATCACTATTGGCTGGTGATGTTTGATTATGTGCCACATATTATGAATTTTCCCTATTTGGGTGCTGGGTATTTTTGTATTTCTGTAAATATTATTGAGCTTTGTTCTGGGACATGCTTACATCTCTTGGAAAGAGTATGATTTTTGGGGGTCTTGTTTTTAAGATTTATAAACAAATTTTTAGGGCTATTTTTGTTCGGTTTGGTTTGGTTCCGAGACATGGGCTCACTATGTAGTCTAGGTTGGCCTTGAACTCTTAGAGTTCCTACTGCCTAGATCTCCCAAGTGCATGATTATAGGTGTGTGTCACTATGCCCACCATTAGGGCTGGGGATTTGGCTCAGTTGTTCTGCTGCCTGCCTCACAAGCATGAGGTCCCGAGTTCGATCTCTGGTACTAAACAAACCAACAAACAAAAGTAAGTTTATGACTATGCCCACCATATT